TCTCTCTCTCTCTCTCTACTCTCTCTCTCTCTCTCTCTCTCTCTACTCTCTCTCTCTCTCTCGCTCTCTCTCTCTTTCTAGAGAGAGAGAGAGAGAGAGAGAGTGAGAGAGAGTGCGTGTGTGTGCGTGCGTGCGTGCGTGTGTGTTTCTGTCTCTGTCTCTGCCTGTACCTCTGCTTCTGTCTGTCCGTCTGTTTGTCTGTTTGTCTGTCTGTCTGTTTCTCTCTCCCCGTATCTGTCTGCATGTCTGTCTCTCGTTCTTTCCCTCTATCTCTATCTCGCTCTCTCTGTCCCTCTCCCCCTCTCTCTCTGTGTGTGTGTGTGTGTGTGTGTGTGTGTACGTGCGTGCGTGCGTGCGTGTGTGTGCGTGTGTGTGTGTGTGTGTGTGTGTGTGTGTGTGTGTGTCTGTCTGTCTGTCTGTCTGTGTGTGTATGTGCGTGTGTGTCTGTCTGTCTCTGCGTGCGTGCGTGCGTGCGTGCGTGCGTGCGTGCGTGTATCTGCTTTGTAAACCGGAGAGTCCTTCATTGAATGACCGACCGTTATGGTACCTGACAGCTCTGCTGTTCGCGACGATTTCGCCTCGAGCTAGAAAAGTGCTGCAACTGCGGCTAGGCCCATACAGGCCGTTAATGGAGACATCTAAAAAACGCGGGCAGATGTGGCGGCCATATTCACCGGCAGTACAATATGGGCGTGGGTTGTCGTACGTCGCGGCGTATTGCAGCGGTTCCACTCTCATATCGGTTTGGCCTTGAGCACGAAGTAAAATGCAGTGTCTTTTATTTGTTGCGTGCATATTATTATTTATCATGCAGAACCTTTTTTTTTTAAATTTACTAATAGTTAATTTGAACTGCGTTTCAGTGCGCGCACGTTTTAAGTCGGTGTTTCGTTAGAGTGCCGTAGTTCATATCTATTCTTTTCTCTTCATATAGCTTACGCGTCGTCTGTGAGAGGTTATGCCACTCATCCCTCGTCGCTCAAGCACATATTCCACGTTAGGAATCTACATCTTGGGCATGTTGCAAAGAGCTTTGGACTTCGGGAAGCACCAAAAGCTGTTGGTCATACTACCAGTAAAAGTCACACCAAACTCAGCAAGAAGCCTAAGCGGTACGTAATCTCTGGGGCGATGAATGTTGTTGCCAAGAGCATCTAAAGCCTATCATATTCTCTCGTTGTATTCTAGTTTAATGCTGCACTTCGTTTTCGTAACCAGTGTATAGTGGGATAAATGTTTATCAACGATCCGCCACGTTTAGAGTGGTGGGCAGGCAAAATTATGAAATTAGTTATAGAAGTTTAGTAAGAATTATAGAAAATTAGTTTATGATGATATATTGATGATTTTCCGTTTCGTCGTTCATGTTGTTCATGTACCTCCATATGAAGGAACAACTTAACTCGGCAGAACATCTATTCGAGTCAAACGTGGGCAGCAGGTGTCTTGTTGCTATAGCACTGTGTCTGATACGACTGCGGGTGATTACTGCGACATCCCGTGTGGGCAGCTATAGGTATTTCCCCCAATAGCGTGCATTTAGGAAGCATGGCTGCAGAGCGGCGTGGTGCGGCTGGACTCGTCAGCTGCGTGCGTTGCCACCCACTCACTGATGACGCAGAGTAACGTCGTCGCAGCGTGCAGCGCTGAATTCAACATCAGCCGCACTCAACTAAACCCACGTTGACGTGCCTCACTCCCGCAGCACCTGCCGCTGCGCGGGAGTCCTCTGTCTGACCTTGTCATCCGCCATGTTACTATCCCAGGCTGCACTGCGCGGGTCGCGCTCCGCGCACGCACCTACTCACTGCGGTGTGAGTGTGTGCTGTTATCAGGTTCCGCCCGTATCAACGCTGATGTCAGCGACGTAGGGGGGCCACTCTAGCGCTGCTGGTGGCGGCGATGTAGCGGGGGAGGCATTCTATCGGCGGTGGTGCCGGCGCGGGGCGGTATCGGGAGGGCTCTCCCGTCGCGCTGGGGTGTCGGCGGCGTCGCGTCACCGGTAACGTGTTGCGACGTCTCTTTTTCATACCACTTAATCGTGGAAGCGCGCGCTAAGAGCGGCACGTCGCATTTGCCTTTCAGATGAGGCGGCTCCGACCTTCTCCCGCTTACAGATGCTTCTCCTTGCCATTAGGCGCGTTCGAACGCGTTGACACCGATTTCGCCGTGAATTTGTTCCCCGCATAAATCGGCGCTGGTGGCCGAATTCGATTTGCACGCATTTGCCGAGATGCGGGAGGGCATAGGGGGGCATGCGGCGGGGGTGAGGTAAGATTGGGAGCCGCGCGGGGATGGGGGGGGGGGTATAGTATATATGTAGGATAGAGTTGAGGCAGGGTGAGATGTGTGCGGGTAGGGGGAGTGAGGCAGAATGGGGTGAGTGGGGAGATAGAGCTGCATGGTTAGGGGTTGGTAGAGGTGAGGTGGGGAGGATAGCTGCTTATGGGTAAGTATGGGTGCCGTAGCGTGGCGTTCGTGCGTGCGTGCGAGTGTGCGTGCGTGCTTGTGTGTGGGATTGAGATTCACTGCACCACCATAATTCGTTTATCTCTGTAAAACAACCTGACTTTCAAAACTACGCAGAATTTCATAGACGCAGACGAGAACTCGTGCCAGCGAACCTTATGAACTAATAATATATATTCTGGTAGGCACGTTCGGCCACGCGACGATACGTCTACGAAACCCGTGTTTATTGGGCAGATGTCATGACTGAAACGCCGCCCCGTTTTTTAATTATATGTTGTGTCACGGGCGGGTGTTATTGCTTAAGAACTGTTCGTTTCGATAATGTTAGTATATATACCGATGTGCCACGCGTCGTCTGTCATTAGCTGGCTCGGCTAGCCTTTGTATGCGAGTGTCACGAATAGCGCCTTCTGCACAAATAGAGACGTTGCGTGGACGTATAGCGTCGATAGAGCCCTCATTAAGCTGCGCTAATCACATTATTTAGTGGCCAGACACACCCTTAATTAGCGGGATTGAGTGGCTCATTATTGTTAGCACTGCTCGCTGCCTCCGCGAGATAACGATGGATGTTGTGTTTGCCCGATGTCGTCTCGCAATATGCTTTGACATAATCTGTTTGAGCTGTGTGCGCTTGCATGAGGAAGGAGCCTTGGCAGCTAGCTAGCCAGCGAGCGAGCGTGTGCGCTTCTCTCGCGCCGAGAGGGTTTCAAGGGATCAAGTCATCAAGGGATTTAAACAGCGAGTTTTAGCGGCGGTTCGCTTGACAGATGGAGATGTAAGGACTGTGTTTAGTCGCTGAATGAGGCGTGATTTACACACGCAAGTCCGCAATCGCGTCTCGCCACCGGTTCTCTCCATCTCGTATCTGTCGTCACTCTCATTCTCGCAACGTGTGAAGGCAGCCAGGGGGAGGGCGAAGGCTCGTGTGCGCATGCAGTCGAGGCGAGGATGGGGTGGAGACGTTCTATATGCTTTATATACATTATTATCGCAATCAGGCAGCACCGGGTGATTTTTCTGCTAATGGTGGTAATGATAAGATACAGGAATTGTTGATGTTGTTGATGAAATAGCAAGGAAAGCTATGGCTATGATGATGACGATTATGGCCATGTTGATAGCGGCGAAGGCGATATACTGGTGATGCTGATGAAACAGCTCTCTCGTCCGCCGTGGCGAGAGAGAGAGAGAGAGAGGGGGAGCCGATGACCATACTAGCGGTGAATCTATAGTAATGACTATGCTTGTGCCATAATATAGCAGTTACGATGGTGTGGTGACAATGAGCATGGCCATGACAGCAACAAGGACAGTGGTGATGGTACTAACCGTGGTGTGATCGCAGGAATAGCCCTGCGTGCTGATAACGATAATACCACGGCAATGGTAAAAGTAGTATAGCTTTGCAGTACAAAAATCATATTTTAACGCCTATTTGCTGCTAGCAGGCCGTGGTTAAGTCTCAGCTCGCCGCACGGATTTAAAGACACCCACGGCTTCTGTTATCGGGCGTCTTTAAGTCCGCTGGATACTTGCCGTGCATTTACTTCGCGCTGGCACTAAATCGCTTTCGTAAACATAGCTGTTATCGGCATTGAACACTCCGGAACAGCGACGCGCCAACTGCTTTGAAGTGACATAAATACTAAGAAATTGGCACCCATCAGCTGCTTTAACGCAATAAGCTTTAGACAGCATTATAGGCCCCAGCATTCGGTTTCGCGAACCGAAGTTTAAAGTGAAGGTAGTTCAGCCACAAACACCCACACGAGAATTACCATACCTACTACCTACTACCTACCTACTACCTACTAGCCTACCTACCTACCTACCTACGACCTATACTACCTACTACCTACTACCCTACCTACCTACTTCCACTACCTATTCTACCTACCTACCTACTTCTACTACCTACCTACCTACCTACTACTACAAATATCCTACCTTACCTAATCTATCTATCTACTCGTATCGTATCTATGCGTATATTATATATATATATATAATTATATATATATATATATATATATATACATCTTAATTTTGTAATTTCAGTAAAAATACAAGCGTTGGGAGATCGTATATCTCTCGCAACAACCAGACAAAATGTGTTAACCTGGCCTGCAGTGCGTGTGCAGTAACCGCGCCCCAACGTTTTCTGCCAATGTTTATGCTTTTCTCATGAAGGTAGTAAGTAATGCAGCTGACCGGACATCTCGTATCTCGTTAACACACTTGATAGAAAATTTTACAGAGGTTGGCTAACAAACGGTTCCATAAACTCCCACTTCCGCCGAAAGATCGACTTCCCACGAGACTTGTACACCCGGACCGACCCTATAGAAATCACCGGTCTACTATATTCGGTGTCGGATTTTACAAGCCCGCCATGCGCCTTGCGTCTCCTCTCCCATGCCCCATCTCCCCTCCTCCCTCCCCCGCCTCATCGCCTTGCCGCCTCCGCCGCCCCACCCTCTTCCCACCCCCCTCTCGCCAAACAATAGACATTGCCCGTCCACCTCGGCCCTTTCATCAAAATGCAATTCGCAGCTTGTAAAAATCAGTCGGCAATCATCAGCCAATCAAGTGGCGATGAATAATGGAAGCATGAGCGTTGAATAATTGCAGCCCGGGGCGTGCGCGCTTCCGTCCGCCATGATGAGTCGGCGTTTACGACCAATAACACAGCTATGCGGGACGCGCATCAACCCCCCGATACTCGCTGCTTATATATACTAGCCAGCTCTGCCGCGAATAACTAACATGGCGAAAACTAGTGCGGGGACGCCGCGGGCTGGCGAGCGCTCTGGAAAACCTCCCTCCAGGATCTTTCTCCCCCGCTCCCGACTCTCTGCACGCACACACTCTCGCCCCTCTTGCTTCATCTCTCTCGTCGGCATCACCACACACACATGCGCGCGCCGCGCACACATCACACAGCACACACACACACATCACACACAACACAGCACACACACACACACGACACACAACGACACACACACGACACACATACACATACACATTACACTATACACATACACACACACACACACACAGCACAGAACGCACGCTGCCGCGCTACGCACTTGCGCGCGCACACACACATCACACACACACACACACGCACGCGCAGCCGCACGCGCGCACGGCACGCACGCACGCACGCGCGCTGCGCACGCAAATGCAGCACGCACACGGCATAAGGCTGATTGGCATGTTACAGACAGAGGCTAGAACG